TAAATTCATCAAAAATAATTATTTTTGGTTTTTTCTTTTCACAAACATAAAATAGGCATTACCATGAACAATTTGCAAAAAGAATGGGTTCAAAATGATTTAAAAAATGAGAAAGTTATGATCAATTGAATTTGTAAAGAAAATGGATAAAAACAAGTCATAAAAATAATGGGGAATGGTCCCCATGGGTGTTGAACCCATGCTACTTCGCTCATAGTTTAAAACAATAATCAACCCCACTGCATGTGCATTGTGATAATAAGAGGAGGGCATGTTATTATATGTGTTATCTATATGATTAATCAAAAAAATAAAAAGAACTAGGGCGAGGGCGGATTCGAACCCCAGTTTAGGGGGTGACAAGGTTACATAACGCGTAGGTTAAACCACTGGAATGGTGATACATTCATTGTATCACCCTCACTCATTAATTAATATGCCTAACTGACCTAGGCTCGGCCAGACAAAGGGAGCCCAAGGCCAAGTTTTTCCCAACAAATTCAGGTTTTGGACCTGATGAAAAACATATCCTAACTTCTTCATTTCTCCATGAAAATGGATGAAACAAAGATGAAACTTCATTAAACTTTCCTAAAGAATCCAATGGTGGTGGTGGTTTTGTCAAATGATGCTCTCATTTTAAAATTTAAAGGCTACACTCAAAATGACATATTCTTGCAAGTTCTACGTCAAGCTCATACATAGTCAATAATAGCACATAAAAATAGTTCAAACACAACATATATGATATTTCAAGTATGTCTAAACTCAATGAACATCAAAGCACAACATATTTTGTAAAGTTCAAGTTTTATAGGAACTTACCTCTTGAAGCACAAAGCTAAAAATCTAAGGTACTTGCTACAGAAGTGAATGAATGTCTTGGAAACTTCAAATAAACCCCTAGGAAGCTTTTAGGATGATTGAAATCAAAAGAAAATCTCTGGAACAAAAAGCGGCCTCTTCTTGCAAAATGATCAAAAGTGACCAAAATGGAAACCCTACCAAATGATGTTATAGTTAAGAAACTATTGTTGGAACAACTTAGGGATGTTATTTATAGTGTGTTTGAAGTGTTGAATGATTTTGAAATGGACAGAATCAAGACATGGCTTGTGAAATGCAAAAATTTAAAGATTTGAGGATTTGACAATTAACTTCCTGATTCTGGTGTTTGGAGGGGAAGATGAAGAGTTGAACACCTTCAAGGGATGTTTGTGATGTGTTTGGGTGGTTATTTGAGTGGTTTAAGCTCTGTTTTCAAAAATTTGATTCTCACTCTTTGAAAATTTGAATTTTTGAAGTGAAAGAGGAAGAATGAGAAAACAAGTGTTGTGATTATTTTGATGTGTTTTGAAACATCAGATGTGATATCTATTTATAGGGGAGCAGATTTTTTTTGGAGGAATAGTGATGGTTTGAAGGATGAGTTCAATGTTCAATGGTTTTGGAAATGCATCATTACTTCCAATTTAAGGTACCTTAGCCTAGCTCTTCTTTTGATCAATTCCACATTCTGCAAAGGTGTTTATTATTGTTTAAGAGTGCATTTTGACTGGTGAGAGTGGTTACTTTGACAATGCATTATTCCACATAAATGCCTCTTGAATTCAAGGCTTAAAGTGATGATGTTTCATCATTTCAAAGTGATTCCTCTTGACTTAGTGGTTCTATCTTGCAGGTTTTGTATGATTCAATCAAATTCTTGTTGAATTAACTTGGCATGACCATCACACTTGGACTCAAAAATCGTGTACCACAAGTAATGCCAAATATGCCTTACCAAAACAGCTCCGTCAAGGCATGTTGTGCCCCCATATCTCCTTGCTCAAATGGAATTAGATTGTGCTCTTGGACATTTTGGAAAGCTGAGACATCATACTTCAACTTTGATGTTTGAGTTTTGCCTTGAATCATTATGGATCATGGAGAAAAGGGACTCATAGTTGGCTAAAATATAAAACAGATTCTGTCCAAAATTTTCTAAGTGTCAAGGTTCAAAAAGTCTTGAAACCCTAACTTCATGGCTTCATATCTCAAAATCTATGCACTTTTTGAGAATCCACCCTAAGTGACAAAGTTGTATTTTTTAACAAGCTCTTCCATTTGATCTTTGGATCAAAGAAAATAGTTGCTTGGTTCGGAAGTTATGCCTTTTCAAAGTTTGCACCAAATTAGGATTTTTTCCATAACTTAGAAAAACATTAATTTCTTCATGGTTATCCTCTTTACAAATAACCTCTCTTTTTTCTTGATCAATCATGATTCAAATCACATATTAACATTGTTCTTGACTTGAAGAAACCATGGTTGACCAAAAAATTCAAAAGTCAAACTTCATTTTGACCACAGTTGACTTTTTGTATCAGATGAATTTTGAACTTTGTAATCCTTTATGAAATCAAATCCTTGGGCTAAATTAATCATCATGGATGGACTCCAAAGGTGTTTTTTAGTGTATTGAATCATGTCCCAAGGTTTGAGATCATGCCTTGGTCAAAAGTCAGAGGTATAGTTGACTTTTCATCAAAAACCCTAGTTTGTGGTCTAGATGAATTTGAATCACTGTAGTGCTTATGAATCAAGTTTTTTGGGTCAATCCAATCATATTAACGGATTAATATGAGGCTTTTGAGGTCCTTGCAACATATCTTGAGATATTGGATCATGCCCAGATAAAAATTTCCCTTTGGAGGCCCTGATCAAGAAAAACCCTAATTGGTGTACTAGGTGAACTTGGGGCTTGATTGACTTGAAATGATGTAAACTCGTACTTGATTCTCGATGGAGGAGATCTATTGATCTTCATTGTATGAATAAGGGACTTGGTAAGTTGAAGATCATGCTCATTCTTGATTGATCTTTTGTCTGAGCTTCTTTTGAGGCTTGAAACCCTAATTGGTAATCAAATGAAACAATCAACAATCTTTGTATATCCAAATGGGTTAGTGATGTATAAAATTATACACATGTATGATGCTAATGAAATGCAAATGATGTGGAATCTTATGGTCAAAAATTAGGGTATGAAAGTGTCTTAAATATTTTGCTTAATAGATACTACTCCGTCCCATTATTATAAACAAATTTTACATTTTAGATACATTGAATAGTTAATGTATCTGGTTAGACCAGATACATTAACTATTCAATGTATCTAAAATGTAAAATTTGCTTATAATATAAGACAGAAGGAATAAAATATAATTATATACTTAGCTAATAAGATATAAGTTAATATCATCATTTCTTGCACCGCCATATATCCAATTACTTACCTTACAAGTTTTGCTTATTTTCAATTCTATATAAATAAAATTCCAACCATGATGTAAAACATATCAAGTTTGAATATTGCATCTCTTCTTCTTTTTCTTTTTTTCTTTTTTTTTTTACTGTGTATTTTAAGTTAATTATAAATCCATATTCGGTATCAATAACCTTTGCAGTTATAAACTTATAAACTACCGCAAATATTAATCGATACAATTTTGTGATAGATACTTAAAGCAAATAATATCCCTTTATAAAATATTATATTAATGAATAAAAGTATTATTTTTTTTTGAATGCAAGATCACAACTGTTTTCGTAAATAACCACAATTACATAATCAATTGGATTTTTTATAAGGTCGACAGACAAACTTTTTTATTCTTCTTTTTTTTCTAAAAGACAAACTAATATTGTATAAACACTATTGAGAGGTGGGAGAATAATGTGAGGTGCAATCTTTTGTTTAGAACTCCAAACAACCCATTCTTCTCTGTAAAACTAGCATTTGCTTGGAAGTATAATGATTTTGTTGGTACCATTACCATGGGAGGTTTTGACGGTTGAGCTTCACAATTACTTGCCAATTTTTGCAAACAGCACCAAACAAAATATTATCAATCTATTCTTCTAAATTTGTCAAGAATCAAACCAAAAGGAAGTGCTTCTAAATTCATATTAGTGAATGGAGAAGAATTAAAAGTAAATGATCTGACCTGATCAGAAGGGGATCACGGGCTGGCCACACTCTGTTGGACTGCTACCTGTTCACCGGTGATGAGGAGGAAAAAGGGGGGGTGTACCTGCAAGACACTCCGATACCAAAGTAAGGAGTTGAGCAGAGTGAGAGCAAAGTACAGAAATGGGGTAAGAAGTGAATTACCTGACCCTCTTGTGGAAGAGGGTATTTATAGAGAGACCCCGGCGCTGGGCTAACGGTCACTTGTGTTGGGCTGGATGGCCAAGCCCAACCCAAGTGACTGCTAGGGCTTACGTGACGTAGTGAAGACCAGAACGTGGTCTTCGCCCGAGTTCAACTGTCCCGTGATCTCCGGAAAGTGGGTTTAACCTGCTCTTTCAGAGGTGGACAGTTGGTGAGTGATGTGTCCCCGTGGAGGAGAGCACGTGGAGAACGTGTGAAGGACACGCTGTCCTGCCCAGCGAGGAGCAGGTTCTGCTCGCGGAGGGCAGGTCTTGCCTGCGGAGGGCGGTGTGTGGTCGTGATGGGAGTTCCCTGTCCGACGTGTCGGTGCAGACCCTTCTCATGGAGAGATCGTCCCTGCTCGTCGGGGACCCGCTGCCCGACACTGTGACCCAGGTTGGTCTGGGCTCGATGGAACAATATTAAGCTGGACCCGTGTGGTCAGACCGGAGCACAGGACAGAACAATAAATATTATAAAAATAAATGTAACCTTCTACTCTTTTTTTACTCAATGTATTCAATGTCTATTGAATTAACTCCGTCTTCTTACCTTGACAAATTAATCAACATATTTCATTTTATTTTATTTTTTATAACATTTCTATGAGAGAAAACATTATCTCTCCACTCCAATTATATCGCACCATCAAGAAACGTTGACACGTGGAATCATCGTAAGCCTCAATTTATAATACGCACACAAAGTGCATTTTATCAAACGCCGCCACTCCTGCCGCCACTACCGACTCGGACCAAACTCCTTTCACCACGCCTCAATACATACAAATAATTTTTAAAAAGACATGTCAGTCCTTTCTTTCACACCGCTTCACCCTATTACCCTCCACTCCCATGCGCACATTAGCCCCTCCCCTTTTCCCATGTCCATCCTACGCCGCTTCAATCTAAACTTCACCAACCACCGACTCCGTCGCCGATTCGCAACCGTATCCGCTGCCGTACGTCAGGACACCACAGTCTGGACCCCAGCCCCTCTCTCCGAGATTGAACCAGCCGCAGAGTCGCTATTCCACGTGACCATCGACGTGTCCGACGCGCCAGAGCTTGCCACGTCGCACACACGCGCCGGGCAGTATCTTCAGCTTAAAGTTGCGAACTCACCGAAACCGTCGTTTCTGGCAATCGCGTCGCCGCCGAAGCTCGCGATTTCGCGCGGAGTGTTTGAGTTTCTGGTGAAGAGTGTGGCGGGATCCACTGCGGAAGCGTTGTGTGCGTTGAAGAAAGGTGATGTGGTTGAAATCACTCAGGCTATGGGAAATGGGTTCGATATTAGTCGGATCGACCCGCCCGAGAAATTTGGAACCGTTCTTGTCTTCGCCACTGGATCCGGAATTAGGTTAGTTTTTCTCTTTCCCCCAATTTGTGTTGAATGTTAAAACTGTTCAGGCTTGTTAAATTTTGTTTAGGCTTGTGAAAATTTAGATGGGAAATTGGGTTTGTAGAAAACAAGATGTTATTTTTGTTTGAGCATGTTAAATAAATCAATGACATAGCATTTCTTGTATGATTGTCACTCAGTGCATTCCTTGAACATTTGGTGTCTCATTAGTGACTCATCATCAGCACTATGATATTTAATATGATTGATGCTGATTGTGTTGTAGATATAAGATTAAGGTTTAAATAGTTTAGCATTGTTGCATAATGTTTAGGTGTTAGTGCTACTCTTTGGAGCTGTTTGTCATTTGTCTTGCCTACATTAGTTCTCATAAGCTAGTTACAATTGGTGTTGCCTTTTCGTTGTGAGCGTGTCAATGTCATTGGTGGATAACCTAATTGATAGTCAAGGGGAGCCCCAAAGTTAGAGACCTATATTAATACCCTAAGGAAATAAGTATGAAGTTCACATGGTTCACACTTGTCATAGTAGAGATGCGGATGTTGCATTGGATGTGTGGTAAGATTAGACAGGATAAAATTAGAAATAATAATATTAGAGAGTGTTCTGGTAGCTCTATAATAGAAAAGATGTTGGAATTATACTAACCTATTTAATCTTTTTCTGTGAATTCCTTATAATGATGGTGTTATTTTCATGCTTGAGCTGTTGTTTCCCACAACTCTCTGGCCTTTGACTCTAGTTGTAATGAACTCTGTACCTGAGGATTTTTCAATACTTACTATAATTATAATGCAATATGCTATTAATCCAAATATATTCCCTTTACTCTCTGTGATACTATTTGGTGTTATTCTTTTACTTTTTTGTGTGCAGTCCAATTCGGTCACTTATTGAGTCAGGATTTGGTGCTAGCAAGAGGTCTGATGTGAGAATATATTATGGGGCCAGAAACCTTCAGAGAATGGCTTATCAGGTTAGTTGATTTGTCAATAGGAAATCTTGTAATCTCTAATTCTGTTTTAGAACTTTATCTAACAATTTTTCTTATATTATAGGATAGGTTTAAAGACTGGGAATCTTCCGGTGTAAAGATTGTGCCTGTATTGTCTCAACCAGATGATACTTGGACCGGAGAAAGTGGCTTTGTACAGGTAAAGTATGGGAAATGCAGGATTAGATTTTTCACATGACTACCTTCAAAATGTTAAGATTGTTTATACACATGATTACTTATGCAGGCTGCATTTAAGAAAGCAAAAGAAATATCTAACCCATTGTCAACTGGTGCTGTCCTATGTGGACAGAAAGAGATGACTGAGGTGTGTTATTATTGCAATCATCTTTCGTTGTCTATCTACATAATTATGGAAGACATTGTTTGGGTTTTATTAAATTTCAATGGGTAAAAAACCTCTAGTTAGTGATAACTATTAAATAGAACCATGATGACTAAATTTAAAACAATTAAAAGGAATTAGAGTCAGTTGATACACGTCGCTAAAGAAAAATTGCATAATTCAAAAGTGCATGTCCCGTTTCATGAAAGATAAGATGCGTAGTAAAAACACACTATCAAGCTCCTCTCTTTTTTTCTTCGTCCAACAACTGCGAGGGTACTACCTAAAAAGAACTACAGAACAAGCTACCTTTGCACTGGTAGTAGAATCATCAAAGCTAGTAAGGTTTTAAATCTGAGTCATCATTGATCCATCATAATTGGGATCAATAATGAAATATGGCTTTTATGCGTAGCCTCTAAGCATTTTCATTTTGTATCTGCAAGTTGTTGACAGAAACAGTTCCGCTCCTTCCCTTCCTCCTCTGTCTGATGTCAACGGCCACATGTTAAAATAAATTTCTTCTAAAAAATCCACACACTCCCTGTTGGACTCATGTAGGTACCAACAGTAAGGGCAAATTGTCCAAAGTGATGGTACCTTGTCACTAAAGCGTGGTTGAACTGGTATAGTGAGGCCATTTTGGAGAGGATGAGCCGTGAATGACTTGAGGGCATTATCCATAAAGAAGCTAAAGAATGCCGTGCCGCTTGAGGTGGCTCTTGCAGGGGCGTTGCGACAGGAAACAATGAGTTTGGTTTCCAATTGGGAATCAGAATATTACCGATGCAACAAAGTCATCTTTGCCTCATTTGATACATTTATTCATTTATTGCATCTTTGCCTCATTTGATATCTTTATTCATTTATCGATATATTATATAATCTGATGGACAATAATTTTGATTCACCAATAAATCATTCGGTTATCTCAAGATTAACGATTTGGATAGAAGTATAGTGTTGGATAGAACATTATGGCGAAAGTCATTCATGTAGCCAACCTCACATAATGGGATAAGGCGTAGTTGTATAAATCATTTAGTTGTTTCATCACCCAATACAATGCTTTGAATAGTTTGGGTCAACTGGTATTAAAAAGAGATAGAGATAGCGTCGATAAGTTTCAACTAGGATTTTACTTGCATTTCATTTTGTAATTCCAATGCACGAGCTTTCAATATCAATGTTAATTGTTGCAGGAAGTTACATCTATTCTTGTTGCTGATGGAGTATCAGCCGAGAAGATACTAAAGAACTTTTGATCAAAATCGAATTTTGGCATTGTTGTATCATTATTTAAATTATATTTGTTTGCCGCCATTGTTGAGGATGGAGCATCTCAGCATGGAATGTAGAATAAACAACAATTTTGAAATCTAGTACATATGTATTAGAAACTACTTTTGCAGTTCAAATATACGACAAAAACCCACGTCTTATGAAAAAAGAAAAGGTGAAGGGTCTATTGGCTGAACTCTAGACACTGTCGATTTTTCTTTTTATAAGAATCTATGCATTATCAAACAGGAAATCATCAATATATTGACATGAATTTACGGTTGCAATGAGCTGAGCCAGCCTTTGATTCCTTCAGAATGCAATATGTGATTTGCAGCTGTCTTGTTTAAACACGCATTGTTTTTGCAAAAAGGAAAACATTTTTATCATAAAAAGGTTTTGAATGATTTCTCAAATTCCTCTTTAATAATTGGAACTTCTTGATAGAGTGGTATCTGAAATTATAAAATACACAAAAATATTTCTGAAATTGTAAATTGTTGATATTTTGGTTTAATTGTTATTTTTGTTAACAAATATTGAGTGACGAATATCTAATAACCCACATTTTCATTTTTTTAAAATCAATTTCACTTTCAAATTAAAAAAAAAAATTTGAAACGTAGTGGTGGTGGTAAGCGTGACTTCACCTATTGTGTTAATTTGATTCGTACCTACACATGGTGTTAGTTTAATTGATAAGCCTATTTTTTTTTTTAATGGTGGTGCCAATTCATCTGGTGTTAGAGGATATTGTGTTTTTTATTAAACATAAATAATATAAGAATATTTAATTTAAAATAGTTTTACAAACTATCAATGACAATCGAGTTAGTCATACTTGTCATTGATTTCACATTCCTTAAATGTTTTAATTTGTTGCACTCGTTGCTAGTTCATCCCAGGTGTTTGAAGTGTTAGAAAAGTCAAACAAATGTCTCTAAAAAATTACTTTTTTTTGTTTCGACACATTTTGAATCGGTGTCGGATGCTCATATGACACTCAAATAACACGTGTTCGATAATTCAGACAAGTTTTCTTTAACAAAATTGTATTTTTCTTTTCCTCAACACACTTTATACATTTTCTAGACAAATCTCACGCACGATTAGAAGAGTTAAACATGTATTTAAGCAATGTTGTCAATGAAACACTAAAGACATTAATTTTGATTAGAATATTTTAAACTTTTCTGATGTTAGATGAATAAATGAAACTCAAATATTATAACATATATAGCGGTGTTGCTGTCTTAAATTTTTGACATATCGGTGTTTGTGTCGGTGTTGGAATTTATGCTTCATAGATTGATGAGATTATCGATGAGTGGCCTGAACGGTTGAAGAGAGATATTAGTGTGAATGATTTGTTAGAGAAAAGTTTAAATGGTTGTGATATTTGGCGTTTTGGCTATGGTAAGAGGAAGAAGTGTTGGTGTTGTATATTCTTTTGGTATTTTGCCTTTGATAGGATGGTGTGTTAGGCGTTATGTATTTTGGATGTCTTGATAATAGTTATTTTGTTGATGATAATATGAGGATGTTTTTGATGTTGTAGTTGAGTATTTGACATACTTTTTTGTTGTTCTGGATTTGTGTATTTGTGAGTCTAAAATCATGAGTAATTAGTCTTATAATTTTGTGGAATTAAATGATTAAACTTCTTGTCAGAACCTAAAATCATAAAATTTACAAAAATATTTCTGAAATTGTAAATTAGTCTAATGGTTATTTTTTGTTAACAAATATTTTGAATGAGTCCCTCAAATTAATGACTTAAATATTGATGGTTTAATTAAAGAAACTAATGTCAACTTAATTATTTGTTAAAAATTTGAAGTAATAGTAAGAATTACTATAAGAATGTTCTCTTTGACAAAAGATATTGTCAATGTTTAGAATCTTTGTTTGACAAGAGATGTCAATTATAAATCTTATATAAAATATTATTCTTTCCATTTTGAAATAACCATCGTTTAAAAATTTTAAATACAAATTAAAGAATATAATAATATTATCATAAAATATTATGCATTATAAGTATTGTACAAATAATAACTAAAAAATATTACTGAAAAAAATACTGTCTACACTAAATTAGATTGTGAGTGAAATTCATTTTAAAATAAATTTATTTTCCTAAAACGACCGTAAGAAGGGAATACTATGTAAATAGTAAATACTAGTAGGTTTAAATTTTACTACAATAACTATTCTATACTAGAGCTGGACAAAAATTAGAAAATCAATTGGGATATGCTGAGTCTGAATCGAATCTCAATGTAATTGACGGTTTCATTTGGGTCTTAGGTGAAAAAATGAAAATTTCGAGTATAAATGAGTTTGATTGGACGAAATCGGATTCTAAAAATTCACTTATTGAAACCTGAGCCCAACCGCTATTATTTCTAAACAATATTATAGCATTGGCTTGTCTTATCATATGAAAAAATATACACAAGTGGATTGTCTTATCATACGAAAAAATATATTTTACTCTATATCTACTATATTCCTACTACGTTGAGGCACACGAAATGGAGGCTAGACTTCAATTTATTCTTCTTTTTTTTCCTTGTTTGTTATTATTATACTACTACCATCTGATTTTCTTTCTCTATGCATTATATTTTTCACACAAATATTGTGAATACCATAATTTCTTCCCCTCTCTATTGTTCCAACATTAATTTCTTTTATTTATCAAAAACTCAAAGACTATCAATATCATGTATGCTTGTGTTTCTTCTTTTTTTCTAAAACACACATAAGTGACTTTTATTTTTCTATTATTTTGTAATATCTAATCTACTTCTCATCAAATATATTAAAAAAAATTCAAAAAAGAATGATTTTATGGGAAAAAGTAATTGTCCTTTAGCATGTTTTATTTTGCATTCTTTCTTCATCTTCTTTTTCTCACCACTATTAAGGTAATGGATAAGAAAAATTTAGAGAAAAATGATATGAAAATCAAAGATCTAACATCCATATATAAAGAGATGGAACCGAATCAAACCACCTGTAAAAACCAAAATCCAACAAAACTGACATCCGGCAAAACTGCCACTCTAAACAGTCGAAAATAGATTGATGATTTAAGCCTGTCGGATTTACATTGTGGGCAATTTTAAATCTGAAACTGACTGTAACCGACCGATGTCCACCCCCATATCTATATTAGCAATATTTATGTTAAGAAAAATATTCTTTTGACACCTTTTTTTTTCAACAATATTGGCACTCAAACAATATTTATCGTATCTGAATAGTTTTTTTTTAATTTAATATATATATATATATATATATATATATATATATATATATATATATATATATATATATATATATATATATATATATATATATATATATATATATATATATATATATATATATATATATATATAATATTTTTTTAAATTACTTTTATAATGCAAATATAAAATTTACTATTAATCAATTTTATCATTAAATTAATCACAAAAATATATATTATTAACCTAATATTTTACTTATAATTTATTAACTAAATTTAATATTTCATTAGCAAATAACATATATAATATTAATAAAATTCTGATATTAAAATGTGATATAAAATAATCCGTTTTTACACTATTAATCAATTTTATTTATTATGTTTCATAAATTTCATAATTTAATATCATAATTTCATTTGTTATATTTTTTATATTTCAGAATTTAATATCAAAACTAGAGTGTAAAGACTGATTATTATATTTTATAATGTAATGTTGGAACTTATTTAATGTTATGTATTTTATTTAAGCATTATAACGAGTCAAGACGGAGTGGGTTTAAGCATTACCAGTCTAGCCCCCGTCTCTCTGTACCAGTCTCGCCCTCGTCCCTAATTATGGATAAAGAATGGCCACCCACCTCTGTCCCAACAGTAAATGGGTTTCCCCGCCCTGTCCCACCTATAAAAATTGATTTTTTTAAATACATATTTTTTTTAGGTAATGATTATTTATATCAAGCTTCATTGCTCACATTAAGCTTGTTTTTAGTCTTAAAAACCTTCATTTTATCTAGAGATACATCTTCGAACTCTATATGAACTCGTCCGAAGATGCATCTCTGTAGACTGTCTGTTATCATTTTTCCTGCTATGTTTACAACATTAGTAGTCTTTGAGTGTTTTATTGTAATTGTTTTCATTAGATATGGTGCACCCCGATGTTTTCCCTAAATATGTTGTGTCTCTGGATGCCAAAGGTGTTGTTGTGAACGAGGTAGATGTTGGAAAGTAATTTAAAATTGAGCAAGAGTTTGAATTTCGTGATCATATGTTTCAATAGATTCGTACAAAGGCCTCCAAAATAGGATTTGGTGTGGTAATCAGAAGGTTCGACAATGTTTCGAATAGAAGAGGTCCATTTGTGACATTGACATGCGAAAGAAGTGGGAAATATATACCTCCTCTCTAGAATTTTAAACGAGATGACATTGATTCAAGAAAATATGAGTGTTCCTTTAAGTTGTGTGGTTATATGTTGTCAAATCAGAAATGAAGATTTAATGTCAAATGTGGTTTACATAACCATGACTTATGTGAAAAGTTAGTCGGTCATCCAATTGTGTTTCGTTTCATGGCGCAAGAGAAGGAGCGTGTTTCATAAATGATATTGAATTTAGTTCAACCGAAAAATATACTTGCAACTTTGAAACGTAAAAGACCCGAAAATATCTCAAATATCAAACAAGTGTACAATATTTGGTACCAAAATAACAAGGTGATAAGGGGAATATAAGTGAAATGCAATAACTATTAAAACTTTTGAATGATAACAGTTATGTTTCCAGGCACCGAACGTGCGAGGATGAAGTAATCGTTAGTGATATATTTTGAACTCATCCTCATTCCATCAGGTTGTTAAACACGTTTCCTATTGTGTTCATCATTGATTCACTGTAAAAGACCAACAAGTAGAGACTTTCACTATTAGAGATGGTTGGT